CCCAATGAGGCTAATCTATCCACGAGGTAAACCTAACAGAGTGGTCCACGTCCCACACATGTATTCACCTGCATGTTTAGTAATTTCTTCCCAATTAGTATATATTGTCTGCTGCCATTGTGTTTGTATCTCATGCCACCTTTTGGGGTGCTGCTGTAACACAATCCTATCTCAAGCACAACTTTCCTAATTAGTCTTCCATTACGTACTCTTGCCCTTGTATTGGTTCACAACAACCCCAATACTCCAATCCAACTGTCTTTTTACCCAGATTCTTAATCAGTCCCTCTCTTACTTCCAGCCGGCAACCCGGATAGGTTGGTCTGCCCAGGCTTCAGGTGCCTAAAGGACACCCTCTCCTTGGTCCATACTTTCAGAGTGTATGACCTTTTCCTTCAGTGCGTCTAAACCGGCGGTTTGGCTAGTGTATCCTCCCACTAAAGGACCTGGTCGCTCGGTTCTCCAATCTCGGCCCAGTTCGAATTCAGTCGTCATGTAGTACCGTCGAAGATCACTGCTACCTCCAAACTCGGGTCTTCCCAAATGGGCTTCCTGTATGGTGATGAACAGTTCCCCAGATTTATATGATTATGGACTTATCAAGTGTTTGCACTGCCCGAAACTGGTTTGCATTCCTTTGTAGTTCTCAGGGTTCCCCCCAGTTGTACAAATGCCAGTGGATTTTCCAGGATTACTCCCTGGTACAACTCAAGTTACAAATCCTCAATTCAAGACAGGTCAATATGTACTAATTAGGAAGAAGTTATAAAAACATGTAGGTGAATACATGTGTAAGACATATACTACTCTGTTAGGTTTACCTTGAAGATAGATTAGCCATATATGGTTAGTTAGTCTTAAAATAGAGATAGATTAATCCAAATTATAGTTAGTAAGTTCTAAAATAAGATGCGAAATCCATATGAGGTAGATACTAAAATCTACTTACATATAGTGAAGAATACCCTGGGTTAAAGGGCAATGGCGAGTAGTTGCAACCTGATGGTTTAAATGAGTACCTCCTAGTTGGGGTGCAAATACAGCAGATAGTGTAGAACCTTTGGGCAAACTACTTAAATTAGACACTCAAAAAATACATGTATGGCTTGATATACTATTGTTGTAATATTAAAGACTATTTATTATCTAGCTCTCTAATAAAAAGTCCTCAGGTCAAAAAGATTATCTTAATACCAAAAAAAAAAAAAAATATTGTATATTGCGAATTATTGTAGTCTATTTCGATTTAATAAAATTAATTTGTTATATTCATTAAGTTAATAATTAATAGTTTCTATCAATTTTATTTTCAAGCTTTAAATAAATACAATATATTGCAAATTATTGCAGTTTATACCAATTTATTTTGATTTAATAAAATTAATTTGTTATATTTGTTAAATTAATATTTAATAGTTTCTATCAATTTTATTTTCAAACTTTAAATAAATACTGTATATTGTGAATTATTGCAGTTTATACCAATCTATTTCGATTTAATAAAATTAATTTGTTATATTCATTATATTAATATTTAATAGTTTCTATCAATTTTATTTTCAAACTTTAAATAAATACTATATATTGCGAATTATTACAGTTTATACCAATTTATTTAATAGTTTCTATCAATTTTATTTTCAAACTTTAAATAAATACTGTATATTATGAATTATTACAGTTTATACCAATCTATTTTGATTTAATAAAATTAATTTGTTATATTCAATAAGTTAATATTTAATAGTTCTTATTAATTTTATTTTTAAACTTTAAATAAATACTGTATATTGTGAATTATTGCAATTTATATTAATCTATTTTGATTTAATAAAATTAATTTGTTATATTCGTTAAGTTAATAATATTTAATAGTTTCTATCTTTTTTTTTGGTTTTAACGGTAGCCACTTTATTACATCTAAATGGTTAAGTATATTACAAGGTAGTACAGTAGCCTAGTTTATATATTTCTATATATCCTGGGTCCCTCCCCCGCGGTGTTACAGTTTCCGAACTACCATACCCCCCTATTTGTGCATAAAGCATCATATAGCTGCTCTAAGATGCCCATGTGTAACTGTCTAGCCACTGATTTACCTCCTCTTTGGCCCCTAACTTGCTAGAAGGTTACCCGCTAGATCAACAGAAGGCCGTGCTCGCCTATTTGCTAAGGCACCTGTCCTACTCATGTGCCTTACCCAGACTTTGGTAATTTTATGCCACAGCTTGACCTATATACTTGGGGTCAGGGCTAACTATTGAACTCCTTGTAACCAACTTTAGTACCTGTTATGCTGCTGTCACCAGATTCATACTTCAAGCCATCTTTTAGGATGCTGCTGCAACCCGGTCTGTACCTCAAGCCACAACCTTCCCAAATTAGTCGACTATTACCTACTTCTTGCCCTTATTAAGGTTCACAACAATCCCAATACCCACATTTGGTACCATCTTCTTACCCAGATTCTTTATTGGTCCCTCCCTTACTTCCAGCTGGCAACCCAGAAGGGTTGATCTGCCTAGGCTTTAGATGCCTGAAGGACGCTCTCCCCTTGGTACATACTTTTGAAGCATATACCCTTTTCCTCTGGTGTAACAGAACCCGGCGGTTCAGCTAGTGTGTCCTTCACCATTAGGACCTGGTCGTTTGGTTCTCCGATCTTGGGCCCCAGTTCAAATTCAGCTCTTATGTAGTACCATCATAGATCATTGCTATTCCTTAGCTCGGGACTTCCCAAATGGGTTTTCGGTTATTCCGGTTCCTTAGTTTTATTGTGCAATTGCTCCCATTACTAGATAGTGTGACCGAAGTTACAGATTTATCTAAGATCCAACCAATAATCATAACCGTCAACTGTAACACAAGCCTATTTTTCAAAATTTGTCGTCTGTAGGATTCAAACTCTAGACCTGCCACTTGGAGAGAGTAACGACTAGACTACTACACTAAGTCGCCACACCTCAATAGTTTCTATCAATTTTATTTTTAAACTTTAAATAAATACTTTATATTGTGAATTATTGCAATTTATATCAATCTATTTCAATTTAATGAAATTAATTTGTTATATTTGTTATTGGTCTTCTCATTTATTCTGGCGCAAAAATAGTATACAAATGATTTAAACTAATATATCTTTTTATTTTTAAAAATAAATTTTTTTTCTAAATAAACAACATTAATATTTATACAATTGGCTATTTAAATTAAAAAAATTATTAATAGCCAATATAACTATTTGTAATAAAAACTAGCTAATTAAAGTTGTAAGTTTAGAAATTACAAAATTATTATTATATGGATTCACTTTACTAACTACAAAGTAAGATTAATCAGAATAGCTTATTATATAATGCTACTACACAAGCAAGTAGATCTATATCTTATAAAAAAGTGTGGTAAATATTACTGTGCAACGATTATATGAATTTTGTGCTATACACACTAAAAGGATATTCATTATTTTCTTAATTTAGTAAGGCAAAATCAATTACCAAAATTATATCAAAGATATAGATAACAATATCAATATAAATTAGTATTGTTTTGCTAGAAATAAGTGCTTTTGTCAATATTGAATTCAAAACTAATTTAAAACTTGCTTTAGGTTCGAAGTTTAGATAAGAAATATTATATTAAATTCGTCAAACCAAAAAATATTGGGTTAAAATTGCAAATCATATGACTCAAAAATTTAAATAAGTAATAAAAAGAAGATTACGATATTATATAAACCTTTCTTAACTTTTTAATAAAAGTTCTTTAACTGGTCTTCACGATTCTAAAGATAATAAGATCATTAAAAATGGTCTGATGGGTCAATCATAATGGCTTCTTAAAAATAAAGTTATGTTTATTATACAATCTCTAAATTTTGTAGATCGTGTAGCAAATACCTTTAAACTTTAAATAGCTATTGTAATTGACCCACTGGGCCGTTTTTGATAATCCAGTTATCTTTAAAATCATAAAGACTAGATAAGAAACTTTAATCAAAAAAAAAACAGATTTACATAATAATAAAATCTCATTTTTATTATTTTAAAATTTTTGATTATATGACTCTCTAATTTCGATATCAAACCAGTTATATTCTAATTTTTTTTCTCATGCTATTATATTTATATACATTTTTAATAAAATCTACGGTTATGAGTACACAGGTAGCTTTGATATAATATCTAACCTTGTCAAATAAATAATATTTATTATCCCTACCGTTGTTACTTTTTTTACTATAATTTTTGAAATTCTATTATAGAGCGCGATCGCACTACTTTAACCACTAATGAAAAAATTATAGTTATATTAATTTACAATTACTTTCAAAAAAGTATATATTACCAAAATACTAATCTTCGCAAGGAAGTTGTCTTGGCAACAGGAATTGGTGAAAGAACTGTTGATCATATTTTTGCTAAATATAATGAAAATAAAGAGCTTAAGCCACCTAAATATAATCGTTGTCCACTTAAAGAATATCAAGCAGAATATATAAATGCAATTCATGACCTTATTTTTTTAGCTAACAAAAGTGGCACTCCACTTTTTATTCGAATACTAGTTTTAGAATTATCCAATTTAGACTTTTTAGTTTCTAGAGCACAACTTGCATGCTACTTAAAAAAACTTGGATACTACTATAGAAAAGGTAAGCAACGAAACTATCTTCATGAGTCTTCCCAAAATATTTCATATCATGCATGTTACCTTTGTTGGAGATTTATAAATATACAAGGTCAAAATGATGTGCTAACTATTCCTGAAGTATTTCTTGATGAATCTTACTGTTATACACATCATAATCAGAATTTAACCTGGGTTTCTAAGGATAGTATTGTTTATGAAAGAGGAAGAGGGTCTATGCTTGTAATTTTTGAGGCCATTGTTGTTTTTCAAAATGAAAATACTAATCAAGTAAAAGGTGAATTGGTTTGTGAATCTCTTCTTGTCTGAGATTCAACAGCAAAGCCAGCAAGTGGAAAAGGTAGAAGAAGAAATTGTGAAGATATATAGGCAACTGTTCCAGATATAGTAAAAGTGGCTAGTATTGTACCTGATAAAGTTAATTACTATGGAAACTTTAATGCAGAGGTATTTGAAAAAAATTTTAAAAAGCTTTGTGAAATTCTTTTACATGACTATGGACTATGCATTATCCACATGGATAGTGCAAGATACTACAAGCGTTGTGCCGAAGCAACACCAACTTCCAATTGGAAGAAGCAAGCTATAGCTGAATGATTAGAAGCTTGCTAGATTAAATTTAATACAAATATGATAAAGGCAGAATTATATAAATTAGCAAAAAAAAACAAACCATATATTTCTTTCGCTGCTATTAAAATTGCCAAAAAGTTTGATCATAAGTTATTATATATTCCTCCATACTATTGTGAATTACAGCTGACAGAATTAGTATGGGAAATTGTTAAAAACAAAATTGCAGCAGAACAACAGTTTGAAGATGCTATTTCTCTTCAAAATACATTGCTTCATTTTTTTGAAAAGGAGATTAAATCAAATGCAGTTGTCTTATGTTGGAAACATTGCCTTGGTGAAGCACGAAAATACTGAGAAGCAATTGAAGTTGAAATTGATGACAAAAGTGATGATAATTATGATAAAAACCTGGATACTTCAGAATCAGATTTAGACTGACTAAATAATAAGCTCTAGTGGCAAAAATAATTGTACAATAAATTTGCCACAAATAAAAAATATTTAAGCATGTTTTTTATTTATCTTGTTAATCTAAAGAAATTTATAAGAAAAATTTTTATATATCGTAGTAAAAATTTGGAATTATATATTTTCGAGCATAAAGAACAATCTTAATAAATTAAATAGCTGTTTATAATAAAATTTTAAAATTTTTAAGCTATAAAGATTTTTTTAAAAAATTCGATTCATTTTTTTTTTGCTGATGTTTAAAGTATGAACCCTATTAATAAAAAGTCTTTATATTTTTGTAAAAATTTTATATTATGCATAAAACAATACTAGAATATTTTTTATTAAAAAAAATAATAGATTCGATTAGTAAAAAAAAAATTTAATTTGTATCAACCATAGTAATCTGATTCTTATAATTTTAATTTGTAGATCTGCAAATGGATAATGCAAGTTATGTAATTATTGCATATTGCACATATGCTTGTACTTTTATATTATAATATATATTTTTTTAATATCTTAGCTTTCTTTTAGTATTAATTAATTAGAGTATTACTGTATATTTGACGAACTTACTATATGCTTATAGTTGTGCCAGAATAAATGAGAAGACTTATAATTTAATATTTAATAGTTCCTATCAATTTTATTTTCAAACTTTAAATAAATACTTAATATTGCGAATTATTGCAATTTATTTTGATTTAATAAATTTAATTTGTTATATTTGTTAAGTTAATAATATTTAATAGTTGCTATCAATTTTATTTCAAACTTTAAAAAATAGTAAAAATTTAAAATAAATAAACTTTTACCAAAAAATAGCTTTTTAAATTATTAAGTCTATTCGAAGAAATTTAACCTATATAAATAAATATTTGTTATACAGTTGTCTTCCTCTATAGTCACCTCCTATATAGTCACTAACTTTATACAATCACACAAAAATTTATGACAATTTTTTTATTTATAAAATTCCCTTTATATAGTCACAATTTGCTTATAATCACTATCACATTTTATATTATAAATAAAAGATATATATATTATATATTATCCTCCTATAAAATCACATTTAGATAAATTAGATAAAAGATAAACCACAGAACAATAAAAGTTTATTTTTAAGAATAGTAATCTCTAAAAATAAGAATTAAAACTAGTTAATCATGTAAAAAATTGGTTTATAGCTCTGGGCTATATTACGATATTTATGATAGCTAAATTAGATTAAACAGACAAATGATTGAAGAATCCAATTTATATTTAAAAGTGTGTTACTGTAACCATTATAAAGAAGAGCTTGGTACTGTCATGCCAAGTTTAAATCCAATAGTTGACATTAGAAAGGTCATATGAATTGGGCAATAATTCTCGTTATTGGCTGCTTCGCATCCATATTCATGGTTTATTAGGTATTTATTATAAAAAAGAATGTGAATATATGTAACCTTTATTTACAGAGGAATTTAGGAGAGCAAATATTACTCTCAACTAAGGATGAAGGTACACTCTTATATACATTCTAATTTTATAGATTTTTAACACAGTGATCTCAATACTTATGCTGTAGAGTCCATATTTGACCAAGGTGCAATGATTACAAATTTATACAATCACATATACGCTATTTGAGCGTAAACACTCTTGCATGAATGAAGCTACCAAGAATACTTAATGCCTAATACTACTAAGGTAGGATTAACATGACTATGATATTACAATTATGGAAGGTAAGTGACAACTTAAAAAATTAAACAAATACGGAATTGATGAGATACAGGAAAAATTAACTGTTACATTACTATTAGATAAAAATAAATTTGAATTTTAAAAGCTACTGTATGTACGTATGCATATGTTTTTGCATCATGATATAGTTTGATATTTTTAGCTTTTAACTAAAAAAAAACAGATTAGATTTTTTTAAAAAAACAGTTTAACGTAATTTAGATAATAAGAACTGCCTTGAAAGTATTTTGGCACCAAATAGTGTCATGGTTAAGATTAAAGATAGACGTTTAAAATACGTGTAATGATCAAAAAGTAAATTCTGAAAACAAGAGGTAGAAGTGCTTATGAGTTAAAAAAAAAAGTAAATACAATACTTATTGTATCGTATATTGGGTTTGAAGATTTTGCGATCACGTTTTTCGATCATGATTAGTTGAGAATTATGTAATTTAGCATCAACATGGACGCATGAAAAATGTGCAATCAGCGAAAATCAAAGAATATAAATAAAATCAATGATGTAATTAAGAATCGAATGTAAGATATAGAAAAACTTTTACTCTTTTTGCCCTGAGTAAAAAACAGTAATATTGAAAAAATGTAACCTTGTACCTTCATATTAAGACGTTGGTATTTTTTCCTTGAGTCTATGTTACCTTCGTTCATGGTCACCTAGAGCCATAACAAATAGAGAGGCTGAATCATGGCTAGTCATAACAATAATGCATAATATATGTTGAGAAAGTGCTGACTAATGGGTTGAGACTAAAAACTACTAATCTAACTAATCAACACACTAAAACTATCCAACTATGGCTTCAAGATGCTTAACTAAACCTTGAAGTGGCAGGCAGAAAAGAGGCGTGAAAAGACTTTAAGGCTTCTGGGTCTTGCTGCGGCATAACTGGAGTCTCGGCTAAATATATCTTTCAAATTTCTTGAGTGGGTTATGTAGATTGACCTAATTTGAGACTAAAGAGAATTCTAATTTCCAAGTTTTGGTGATTTAAGGCTTTGAATTGCCTCCGATCGTGAACTTTGTTCATAATATCACATGAATCACGTGGGTAAAAACAGAATCATGATATTGGTATTGTAAGTAAATTTATGACGTTGATCAAGGTTTAATCAATTGTTATGCTTTTATATAAAAAAAGGATTTGGATTACTAATAGTAACTTTCTCTTTCTCTTTTACCTCCTAATAAAAATCAAGAATACGAATTCATCAAAATCACAGGGACAAGGGAACTTATGTGATGAGCAAACATCTTTATCATTGCTCCATTTAGTAAAAAATAAAAATAAAAAATAAAATAAAATAAAATAAAACAAATTAACGAAAATGATGGATCAATAAAAGGATAAAAAATCTACAGTAAAACACTTCTAAATTCCATTACTTTTTCAGAATTTACTAAAAACCAACAAAACACAAAAACGAGCTGTGCCTTTTTTATTTTGGCGAATATTTTTAGCATAAGTAATAATAATAATGTAAAAAGAGTAAAGTACTTGAACAATTTTTTTTCTAATCAATCAATGAAAAATTTCAACTAGTAAACGCAATTCTATGCTAAAAAAAAAATGTTTGGGCCTTTATCTCTTGTTAATTAGAATGATAAATACCCTTGCTAATAAAATTTTTTTTTCTGATATATTAAACTTTTGTTACATGTTTTATTTATTAGAATAATCAATACAATTGATTTGTTAACCTTTTCTTTACTAATAAAAATTTACTCCCAGACTTGTTCCGACAGGTTAATAAAGATGCTTGAGAACACTCTTGGTAAACTTCAGTCTTCAAAAAAGTAGATTGACTTATGTAAACTTTGACTTTCGGCAGCATAATTTTTGGTAGTACATTCGACTTAATATATATGTAATATTGTGGAAAGTGGTTTTGGTACTTTTATTAGGAATATAGTATAAAGAGGTGCTGTTATAAATATATAACAGCGTATTATTATTTGTTACAAATTTAGGAGTCTTTTATCATTATCAGTTTATTTTAATTTATATAATTTATTTATTTATTTAAATTTTATTTCATGTATGTTCTTTTGTATATCATTCATTACCTCAAAAATTTTCATCATAAAGGTCTTCATTATCAAGATCTTCATTATAAGAATCTTCGTTATAAAAATCTTTATTGTCAAGATTTTCATCATATAAACCTTCATTATTAAGATTTTCATCATTGAGAAAATCTTCTTTACTAAAAAGATATTTATCATTAGAAGAATATTCATAATCCTGAGTTCCTCCCCCAAAAAAATTAGTAATAAGTTTTTGTTTTAAGGACTCGGAGATTTTACGCCTCATTAGTGGTAAGTATTTACGAAATATTTTTAAATAATTTCTATCAAAATCACTACCCATTTGTTGCTCAGCGAACAAAATAAATTTTTTTAATCCATTTAGTCCTTCTGGGGCTAAAATATGTGGTGACTCCTCATCTGAATCATCTGGATTACCCTGCTCATATTCCAAGTTTTTTGCCAACATGATTTCAACAATCTAATGGTCGTCAAATTTATCTTCAGTAGATATATGTATATTATTTGTTTCTCTATAGGCTTCTATTTCTTGTACAATCATTGGATCAGTAAGATCATATACTAATTCATTAATTTCATTCTCTTCTTCTTCCAATAATTGTAAATGGATGTTCTGAGTAAGTTCAACTTCAATATTCGATGCCATTGGTAAAATACCTGTCTTCCTCCAACAATTCACTATGGTCGATTTATCTACTTCATCCCATGATGCTGCTACATACTCAATGGCCTCTTTGATATTTAATTTATTACTTTAAAAAAAAAAATAAATAAAAAAAATAAAAAAGGTTATAAAAATTACATTAATTAATTTTATATAATAATATTAGCTTACTCGGGATATTGAATATCTAAACCTCTTTCAAATTGGTATAATATATGCTGAATATATTTTTTTTGATATTTTGCTTTGAAACATCTAATGATACCCGTGTCTATGGGTTGAAGTTGTGAAGTAGTAAGAGAAGGCAAAAATACAATTCGAATATTTGTAAGGTGATAATCAGATAAATAAGAATTGTATATAGACTTTCACGACCTCTATCATGTTTGCCTTTAATTCGTTGCTTATTTCGTTAGCTAACTGGAATAGTGTTATATATTCTTAGACAACTACAATGACGACCATGACTATACCCACGACCACGCCCACAATTATTTGATCTAATTGAAGTTGATTCTTCAAAACCGCTATTAAGAAACTCCTCATTAGATGAATTATGTGGATTATTTGAATTATCTGAATTATCTGAATTTGGGTCAAAATGGCTTGATGCATTATCAAGTATGAGCAAAATTTTCCGGTCTTTAACTCGAAATTGAGAGTTGAGATCCTTCAACCACTCTGCAAATATGTCAGTTTGCATCCATGCTTTAAGGTTAGCAAGATATGTAATAGGCAAGGTCGCATGATTTATACGAGCTAATGCTCATGGCTCAATAGAAGTTCCGATTACAAGGGACTTTAGTTTTTCAGTTCCAGTTGAATTAGAAGCTAATAGAACAGTAATACGAGTACGATCCTAAATTTATTAATAAATTAAAAATAAATAAAGTAAATGATCAGACCTGAACAGAATATCTAGACCGTTAATATGTAATAATATTATGAGTAGTTGAGTATAAGTGAAAATTTCATTTCTGCTTATACACTTTAAAGATAAATAACTAATAAGAAAATTATATATGTGTAGTAATATAGGGCTACACTACAGTAAGTAATAGTTGGATGGGTAATTTATAATGAGAGTTACAGTGATAATTTGTATACTCGAAAGAGCATAGTTTCCAGGGTATAACTGATTTATATCCTGTGATCTTGATATAGTGACCAGGGTATAATAGTAATAATTTTACTTTCCTTTTTCCATCCGGGACAAGAATGAGTAGCCAAAGTTTGAATTGGTGATAAACGAAAGAACAATCCTGTTTCGTTTGCATTAAACACATCATTCAATACATACTCTTGAATGATACTTCATAGATTATGTCGGGATTCTGGAAGAATATCAGTTGGCATGCTGTCAGCTTCTCCATGTAGCTGAAAATTTTGTAAATTATTACGTTTTTTAAACTGTCTTATTCAGCTATTAGAAAACTTTAATTCATTCTCAGGTAATAAAAGTTTTTTGACAAAATATATAGCCTTTTCTTTAATAATTGCTTTAGTTAAAAACAAACCACTATTAATAATTTGTTCAACCCACAGCTTCATGGCTTGATCTAATATAGAGAACTTTACTTGTCTATTCCGAAACGTATTAGAGGTAGCTTGGTCTTCAATAACAGCTAACTACTTATCTTTTTTTAAAAAATTTTTGAGATAGTTGAATGATCAAGGTTTCGTTTTTGATCTAGTGCATTAAAATGCTCAGCAATTTATATTTGTGTTTTATGAGGATTTTGTAAATAGTACTGACAGATGGCATTTTTTAGGCTAAAACTAATTGCTGTATGTGTTTTTTTGATAGAAACTTGATTAGACATACTGTAAGAATTAACTGTGTCAATATTGGGGATGGCTAGCTTTAGTCAAATAATAAGATCAATTTTATGTTGAGATGTCTTCTTATTTATATATAAAAAGCATTAGGTTGTCGCAAAGGCTTTGTGAAATCAATTCTTACTTAATTTATTGAGCTTTTACCCGATTATCTGATAATCCAAATATAAATAGAATATAATTAGATCGACAATTAATATTGTTTTGACAATTCAACAAATTGCTTCAATTCACTTTAGTTTATATTATCTAGAGTTAAATTTATTAATTACACTATTAAGTCAACCTTTTATTTGTTTTATATTATTATTTTTTTGCCTTTAAAGCTTTTTTTACATACTACCTACTAACAAAATTTAAAGTTTTTTTTATAATTTTAAAAATATTTCAAGTTTTAGTCAAGTTCAAGAAATCTTCCAAGAATGCTGAAACCAAGAAGGCAGATAAGGGAAAGATAGCAACTTTTGAATATATACAAAGTTCTAGTTTTAGTGAAAGCTTTAATAAATGATTTAATAACTTTGAAGTTAATAATAGTAGTAGATCTAATATATACACAGATGCAAATACATCTGAATATATTTAAATTGTTTAAACTTATTCTATATTAATTTTAAAATATTTAACTATAAGTATATAATAGAACTTTGGCTAAAATTATTGAAACCCAAGGTGAAATTCTTTATGAACTAAAAAAAAAATAATTAGAGAAAAAGTTAAAAGAATTGAAAATCATTTGAATGAACTTGACCAAAAAATAGATAATAGCTTCGATATAACAAATAATAAAGCTATTAAGAAAGTAATTTTTAAATTTAAAATTATTTTTTAATAATATAAAAATTTTTTATAAGTTAATTTAATATAATTAAATAGAATACAAATATCTATTATGTGAATAATATTAATAGACCAGTAAACAATATTTATTTAATTTATATTTATTTATTCGAACTAATTTGATTTAATTTAAAATAATTCAAATGTTTTTGAATTATTTTAAATTATATTGAATTAGTTCAATTTGTTTTTATATATTTTGAATTTTACTAAACTTATATATTTTTAGCTTTGTACAAAATTAGATCTTTTGTACAGTATAGTAACGACTAATATAAAGAATATATTATTTTCTATATATAGGAGTCTTATTGATTTTATAAATAATAAAGCAAAATCTAATAAAGTTATAATCTGAAAGGCATCATCAAAAACAAAAGCATGTTATAAAATGTTATTTGAAAAGTTAGAAAATAATTCAGATAATATATATATGACTCAAATACTGTCTAAAATCTGGCCAGATAGCAAAACTTCACAAGAAAAAATAGCGTTTGCTATATTGATCTGTCAAACTATACTCAATCCAAAAAACAAAAATATTTTGATTTCGGATTCTGCTATAATAAAAAAATTGATAGCAATAAATTTGGTAAGTATTTATTAATATTTTTATTATATATAGTTTAAACTAATTTAGATTAAATTGAATTGTATTAAAATATTTAAAAAAAATTAGAGTATAGTGATTCTTTTTCTATTTTGGATTCTGAAGATGAAGCAAAAATGATGATAAAGATAAATCTGATGAAAATAATGAAACTGTATAAAACAATTTATTTAATTTATTGAAATATAATTTTAAAATATTTTCAATAATATATTCTAATTATTTAAATATATACTAATAAATTAAGAACTCCCAATGATCAATTTTTTCCAAAAACTTTTCTTAATAAATACATTATAACTAGTTGAAAAAGTAATAAGTAAGATAAGTTGAAGAACTATAGCATCTGTTATTTAGAAGTAGTTCTTATACGCTACCTGCTAACAGGTTCAGAGTTTATCACTCACTGTTGAAACAGAGAGCACTTGTTATTTAGAAGTAGTTCTCATACGCTACTTGCCGACTAGCTTTGAGTTTATCACTCACTCTTTAACGTTCTTTAAGTACTTGCCCTTCACTCGGTCAACAAGTCACTGATATACTTTGCAAGAAAAGTATACACACTTCTTTGGTTTAGAACTAGTGGTTTTTTTTTCACCTCTACTACCTCCTGCCGACCTCACCAAAATTTTTGACAAAAAGTGGGCAATTCAGCTTACCCTCTCCAAAAGATCAGCATTGTTACACTTTCTATTTTTGGATAGACGAAGTAGGACATAAATATGAGATTATTTTGACAATAATGTACCTACACCATGTGACAAACCAATTGGTGCTTTGGTTAACAAACCAACCCAGACTGGACAGTAAAGTCAGAAGAGACTTAATGATAAGGTGAAGCTTTACAATAGAGATATACAAGATTTTTAAATTTAGTATATAATTTTTACAACTGTGCCTGGCACAGGCTATAATAGTGTTTTCATTGATTGTTTTTTTTCTGTCTTTTTCTTCTTGTTTCTTTTTTTCTTTTTGTTTGTTTTCTTGTTGCTTTGGCAGTTTTTTTTCTTTCCCCCTTTTATGTCATTCCCTTTATCTTTAGTGTTAGTATTTTTTTTCATAAGTTAGTTGGAAACTATGAATCCTTCTGCTCGCGAAGCTAGGGGAAGAAGGTTTAGAAAAGATGGCAGTCTTGATAGGCTATAAATACCATTCAGTAATATATCAAAGAATTCAATTGCAGAGTTTTTTGATATTGAGATAAACATTTACTATAGCAGATTGAACATAGGTATTCGCTTGAGAACAACCGGGTTAGCTGAAACTTGTAATTTAGGTAATGCTTTAGTTTACTTTAGCAAAATGATATTTTACCTGTAAGTTAAATATTTTAGCCTAATAAAGTTAAGACAAGATTGCCGAATTTACAAAAAAAAAAAACAAATTAAGAACTAGGCAGTAAATATAGAATTAATTTAAACTATTCTAAAAAGGTATAAACTATATATATAATATGAAATTTTTTTTAATAATTTAGCAGTCATGCCTTAACTTTATTAGGCTTTGTACAACTTATCTAGAATATGTAAAATTTTACAATCAGGCATTTCAGAAAGTAAGTAATAAACTCTTAACTTGTCAGCAAATAGCGTATAAGAACTATCTCTAAACAACAAGCGCTATAGCCCAAATTGTTATCTAAATTACAAGTTACAACTAACCTGGTTACCAACTTGGTACCTATGTTCGACCTGCTATCCCTTAAACTGTCTAGCAGCCAAATTTGGCCGCTAAAATTTTTTTTTTTTGATTTTGTGTGATTGTGCTTGATTTTTCTAAGCAATTGTACCTCCTTTTCTAAGCTCGAATTAAAGTTTGCCATTTTGCAGATCAATTCGTAATTTCATATCACGTTATAGTAGTACATGATATCA